TCAGCTGACAGTTTGATGCCTCCAGATCTGTGAGACAATAAATTTACTTTTATAAGTCAGGTATTTTGTGGTATTTTGTTACCACAGCCCTCGGAAAACTAATATACACCCTATACATATTTACTGTGTATATGGATTGCCTATCCAAAGATTTTTTAAAAACACCATAATAAAATAAAACAAAAATTAGGGAGTTCCTGCAAAATGGCACTCTAGGCAGAAGCACCATGTCGTCCCTTCACAGCAAAGATCTGAAAAACTAAGCCGAGCAGAGAATACAACAATCCTGAAACCCTAAAACATCAAATGAAGAGATAAAGAACTCAGCCAAGCACCAAATGGAGTGAGAAAACTGACAGAGAATGGAGAGCGAGGAGAGATTCATACAGAGGTCCCCTACCAGCTAACGCAGCGCGGATCCACCATCTCGGACTCCTATTGGAGACCAACAAACAGGGGGTACGAGAAAGCAGCCTCACGGAGCTTCCAGAGGGAGAAAAAACAACCGGTAATTGGTTGGTAGTGGTAGACGGCACCACCTAGTTCTTCTGGTCTCAAGGTAGAAGAGGCGGTGGTTCAGGTGGGCTATTTGTTCTGTGGATTGGTTTCTTCTTTGAGTCTTTGGTTTACTTCATTCTGTTTTGCTCCAGATAAGTACAGACCAATAGTTGTATCTTAGACGGCCATTAGGCAGCTTTTAAGACCCCAAGCATTACTCTCAAACTAGGATGTAGAACACTATCTTTATGAACTATGTTATGCTAGTTGACTAAGTTGTCACACAAGACTATAGTCCTAAGCTTTTTAACTCAGTAAGCCAATCCTGCCAGTTTTTTGGATATGTCTTGGAAGCTTCTGTAACTGTGCCCCCTATGTGCTTTATTTTACCAAAACCAAACCCATTGCCATCAAGTCAATTCTGACTCATTGTGACCTTATACGACAGAGTAGAACTGCCCTATAGGATTTCCAAGGAGTGCCTGTTGAATTCAAACTGCTGATTTTGGTTAGCAGCCGAGCTCTTAACCACTGTGCCACCAGGGCTCTGTGCTTTATTATATATATGGATATATATGCAGCACAAATAAACATGTATATACATATGTCTACAGATACACTTATACATGCATGTGCATTTATTCATGTATGCCTTCCTATACACATATATGCATACATATCTACCTATGTAACCACACACACATTTTTTGGTTGTTATCACTGTTGCAAAATTGTACTGAAATTGTCCCTTTTTCTTGTGTACTTCTTAGTATTATCATTTATCTTGGTCAAGTTGTGCAGATTTCATTGGTATTGCCTTTTCCATCGTAAAAAATAACAAGTGTCTACTATCTAGAAAGTTATTCCCTCTCCTTCCCCCTTCCATCCCTGGTGATCATCAAAGAACATTGCTTTTGTGTGTATCTCTATTCTTGACTTTTTATAATAATGGGACCATACATTTGCCCTTTTGTGATTGACTTATTTCACTCAGCATAACGTTTTCCAGATTCATCCATGTTATAAAATGTTTCACAGACTCCTCATTATTCTTTGCAGTTGCATAATATTCCATAGTATGTGCCATAATTTGTTTATCCATTCATCCTTTGATGGGCACTTAGTTGTTTCCATCTTTTTGCTATTGTGAATAATGCTGCAATGAACATAGATGTGCATATGTCTGTCCGTGTCCTTTTATTAGATCCCTAGTGTATATACCTAAGAGTAGGATTGCTGGATCATATAGTATTTCTATTTCTACCTTTTTGAGGAAGAGCCATGCTGTTTTCCATAGTGGTTATGCCATTTTACAATCCCACCAGCAGAATAGAAGTGTTCCAATCTCCCACAGCCTCATCAGTATTGGTTGTTTTATGTTTTTTTGATCATTGTCATTTTTGCAGGGATGAGACGGTATCTCATTGTAGTTTTGATTTGCATCTCTCTAATGGCTAATGATTGCAAGCGTCTTTTCATGTATTTGTTGGCCGCCTGAATGTCCTCTTTGGTGAAGTGTCTGTTCATGTCCTTTGATTATTTTTTTTATTGAATTGTTTGTCTTTTTGTTGTTGAGTTGTTTAAGTTTTCTATATATTTTAGAGATCAGACCCTTGTTAGATACGTCATTGCCAAAGGTTTTTTCCCAGTCTGTAGGTTCTCTTTTTATTCTTTTGGTAAAATCTTTTGATGAGCATAAGTATTTAAATTTTAGAAGGTCCCAGTTATCTAATTTGTCTTCTGTTGTTCATTCATTTTTAGTTGTGTTTGGTAGGCTATTTATGCAGAAAATTATGTTCCCTAGTTTTAATCCTATTTTATCTTCCAGAAACGTTCTGATTTTCACTTTAACATTTAGGTCTTTAATCCATTTTGAGTTAGTTTTTGTGTACAGTATGAGGTATGGATCCTACTTCATTTTCTGCAAATGGATATCCAGTTTTGCCAGTACCATTTGTTAAAGAGACTGTTTCTTCTCCATTGAATGGACTTGGGCTCTTTGTTGAAGATCAGCTGCCCGTACATGGATAAATTTACTTCTGGGTTCTCAATTCTATTCCATTGGTCTATGTGTCTGTCATTGAACCAGTACCAGGCTGTTTTAATTACTGTGGCTGTATAGTAAGTTTTAAGTCAGGAAGTCTGAGGCCTCCTACTTTGTTCTTCTTCAACATTACTTTAGCTATTTAGGGCCTCTTTCCTTTACATATAAAGTTGGAGATTAGATTTTCCATTTCATTAAAGAATCTTGTTGGCATTTGGTTTATGATTGCATTATATCTGTAGACGGCTTTGGGTAGTATTGACATTTTCACAATATTAAGTCTTCCAATCCATGAGCATGGGATGTTTTTCCATTTATGTGGGTCTCTCTTGATTTCTTGCATTAGTGTTTTATAGTTTTCCTTGTATAAGTCTTTTACATTCCTGGTTAGGTTTAGGCTTTCTTCATTTTTCTTTATTCTTTTTTCTGATCCTTCCTTAAACAAAATGGTATTAAGGGATCTGTCCTCTATTTCAATGATTCTTTCATCCATTGATTCAATTCTACTCCTGTGTCCTTCCGTTGAGTTATCTATTTATCATTAATCTTCTGGATTTCTAGTTGTTATTTTTGTATTGTTTCTGATTGTCTATTTATTTTGTCACTTTGTTCTTGTAATGTTATCCCGAATTCTTCTAGGATTTTGTTTGTATTTTCCTTGATCTCTTTGAGGAACCTAAATATAAGTCTTGAATTCCTTATCAGATAGTTCTATTACCATTTATTCATCAGGAAGGTTTTCTGTCCCTTTATTTTGCTCACTTGTTTGAGCCATCCTATTTTGTTTCTTCATATGATTTGTTATTGTCTGCTGTCTCTGAGGCATTAATTAATTAATTTATCTATATATTTCTTTATCGATTGTTTGTTTGTTTTGTCCTGATTTGTTTGTTTTGTTTTGTTTGATATACCAGGAGCTTTGTTTCTTCTCATTCTCTTTAGAATGTCTTCATTTCTTTGTATTATTTTAATTGTTGTTTTGGTTTTCTGGTACTGGTCTATGTGTGACTTTGGTGGTGTCGGTTGACTGCATGTGATTTCCTTTCACTAGTGACTATGGTGGGTCACATTCATGGTTAGGCTCATATATCTTTCCTTACAGTATTGAGTGGAGGTGGGAGAGCAGATTCTTTCCCTTATATTGGGTGACAAGTGTTGAGTGGTCAGGGTCCCTCCACAGCCCTTGTGGGACCCTGGGGTCCTTCTGGGTTGGTACTAGCAATTAGTGTTTCCTCTGGAGGTCGGGGCAGAACATCTCTGTAGTCTCTGCAAGGAAGTACTAGCCAAATGGACCGGATAGGCCCTCTGTGTGTGCACAAATTGGTGTCTCATAGGTAGTGAGGGAATCAAGGGGTTACAGTGCAAGTGCAATCAGCCTGCAGGAACTGTCTGGGTGTGAGATGTATGACATTGCAGCTGGGCAGACATTGGATGAGGGGGCTAGGATCTCCTGCTTGTTCTTTGGTAGAGGTGCACATGGCACCGTGCTTCACTCTAGATTTGTCTACACAGTATCTCTGTATCCTATTGCAAATTCCATGATGTTGTCTTCCTATGCTCTTTACCCGGGAATTCCATTCACTTTGTCTCAAGATTGCCATACTGCCCCAGGTCAGCTGGCAGGGCACTTATGATTCATAAATCTCCTTATTCATTTTTTTCATTCAGTTTATCCTTCCATTCAGTGTTTGATCTAATTCTTCATTTTTCTGTTTGCTGCTCAGGGCTCCAGAATTGTCAACTGTATCTGTTTCACTTGGATTCTCTGGTCTTTGCTGTAGGGGGATGGCATGGTATGTCTGACTAAGCTGCCATCTTGGGCTATTTTCCCACATTGCTTCTTGGGTTGAATACTAGATATAGTAGTTGACTTGTATTTTGCTAGACTGTTATACCAAAAAACCTGAAAACTTCTCTTTAAACTCTAAACACACTAGTTACCTACAGTCAGGGAAATATTTCCTTTATGAGAGTGTCATAGGGAAACTAAATGGATCCTGAAAACACCAGATTTATACCTCCATCTCTCACTTATCCTGAAACACATGCTCACTGTATGAAAATGGCTCCAGAACTATCTTCATTGTCCAAGCTGTTTTTTTTTTTTTAGTTTTTCCTACAGAGCAGGTATAATTTAATTTTCATAATTTAATATACATGTGACAGTACTCCAACATACCTGGTTTGTAAGAAACTGCTTGGACTATTGCTACACACCTTCCCCCTCCAGCCAGCTGACTACCACAGTTCTCCTCCCTGACTCTGCCACTCATAGCCCACCACCATGCCCTGGTATCCTTTATTCATTGGGGCCCACCTTGCATTATCCAGTCTCATGTGTGAGCTGTTATTTTACCCTGACCTTCCATGTGTATTATCTGCTGGGTTCCTAATTGTCAATCTGGGTACTGAACATACAGCTGAAACAGATCACCAGTTCCCCACCCCTAGTACTCACCTCAATATCTTTGACCAAGATGCTCACATCTAATACTGAGGATTCTATTTTCTTGGCTCTAGTTGTGTTCCTGGACCTGTACTTGACTCCCATAGTGGGAACTGAATGGTGTCCTTCAGTGGCATTACGAGGGGTGTCCAGGGGGTGCAGACTGCACCTGATGACACTGTCAGATGAGGTGACACCAAAATGACTGTCTATAAAAATATTCCTATAGTTAGTTATAACAACAAAAACATTTTTCCTAAGCCCAGCTTACATGTATCAACGTACCTACAAGGCTACAACTCTATGCTAATTTACTTTTTGAACCTTCTAATACACTCTGGTCAGAGCTGTCATTATTACCCAATTACAATGATACTTTGAATCACATGGTTTCATCTGCATATGCCACAAACACTGTTGTTTTTGCTGCTGCCGGTGTTTTTATAGTTGTTGATTTTGTCAAATTTTCTGGTATTTTAGGTACAATAATCTGGTAATTAGCATCTGTGAAACTATTTCAATAATTTTTTTGGTAATAAAGTAGTAATTAAAAGAAAAGAAGGCGTGATATGTGGGAATTACAATTTATGAGTAACATTAGTGCAAAAAACATTACTAAGGAGTCTGTATGGTCTGGTATGAGAGGAAGTCCATGGTGGGGGGTGACACCATAAGTTACTGCACTGGGTAACACCAAACCTAGTGACACCACTGATGTCCTTACCTTGTTGGCAACAAGGCTAATGCTGATGTTCCTAATTAAAAGCTGTAGTGGGGTAAGCAGAAGGCAGCATGTGAGATAAACATGCAATGGACTCACCAGTGATTGTGTAAACAGCAGTGATAGCCAGCTTGATGAATATGGCTCCAGAAAACATGTCTGCCTGAAAAGGAACAGTTGGGATGAAAAAGAAACATGCAGTTCAGACCTCTAGTTTCTCTGCTCCAATGTCCCCCCTCTCATTTTCCTGGTTGACTTCGACTCTTGCTTCAAAACTCATTTGGCCATTCGGCAAGGGATTGGACAACCTCATAAAACAAAATGGGATTAATGAGGCACAGCAGTCCAGGGACAAGGACTAGAAGGCAGGAGGGAACAGAAAAGCTGGTGATAGGAAACCCAAGGTTGAGAAGGGACAGTGTTGACATGTCGTGGGGTTGTTAACCATTGTCATAGGGTAATATGTGTACTAACTGTTTAACGAGAAAGTATTTGTTCTGCAAACCTTCATCTAACGTACAAAAAAAAAAAAAAAAAAGAGTTATCTATGTGAGATCAAACTGACAACAGCAACTCAAAAGGTTTGATGGGAAGCCTAGGGGGCAGTGAGTTGAAGATAATGGTGATGGAATAATTTGAAAAAGGATAGTGAGAATAGCAGCACAACTGGAAGAATGTAATCAATGTCACTGCGTTGTACATGTAGAAACTTTTGAAATGATATAACTTTGGCTATGCATATTTTCACCAAGAAAAAAGATCCTCCAAGGTCGAGAAGGGAGAGTGTTGACATGTCATGGGGTTGTTAACCAACGTCATAAAACAATATGTGTACTGACTGTTTAATGAGAAACTATTTGTTCTGCAAACCTTCATCTAAAGTACAATAAAAAAAAACTCATTTGGATGTCCCTATAGTGATACCTTCCATAGAGTCTTAAACTGTGATTTTTACTCTCTCTCTCCTTTTGTCCCTATAGTACTTAGTTCATTGCTCAACTGAGGCACTTCTTAAATGAAGTGGCATGTCCTGAGAAATTTCTCTGTACCAGGAACTTTATATGCTTATAGGAACACTCTTGACTGTGACAAAATACTTTTTTCATATTTTTTTTAAATCAATATTCTTGTTTGCCAATGAGGATTTTCACAATTACATATGTTTACTTTTGTTACACTTATATACAAGATTGGGTCTGTTTCGGGGGTGAATTGAATAATATTTTTTTCTCTGTTCTGATAAAATTTAAGCTGTTAAATAACTATCTTTTTCTTGAAACCTTGAGAGAATTCACCCCCACCCCACTTCACTTCTCAAAACTACCTGTAAGCTATCTTTGTTGTTATAATCACTTTGTAGTTGAGTAAACGAAGACTCAGAGAGGTTAATTAATTTGCCCAAGGTCACCAAGATAGCAAGTGGGAAAGTCAGGATTTGAATCTGTGCAGTGTGACTCCAAACATCACACTATTAAACACTTTGTCATACTACCACCATGAAACTTTACGTAATGATATGTATCAGGCACACCTAGAAGTATAGAGAAATCAATCTGGGAAGAGGGTGATTGTGGTAGCATACTTTGTGACTCTCCATATAAGAAAACTTAAGAAGTAGATAGCAAAACCAAATCATGTGAACATTTCCAACAAAACTAGGTGACAGCGAGTCCTGAATGGAGCGGGACAAAAGTGTGGAGCAGAACTCATATTCACATAAAAAGACCAGGTTTAATGGTCTGACAAAGACTGGAGGAACCCCTGAAACTATGGCCCCCAGATGCTCTTTAACTCAGAACTGAAACCACTCCCAAATCCCACTCTTCAGACAAAGATTAGGCAAAACTATAAAGCAAAAAATAATACATGTGAGGAGTGTGCTTCTTACTTCAATCAGATACACGAGACCAAATGGGCAGCTCCTATCCAGAGGCAGGCTGAGAAGGCAGGAAGGGACGAGAACTGGTTGAATGGATAAAGGGAACCCGGGGTGGAAAGGTGGAGTGTGAGGATTGCAGCATACAAAACAACATGTATAAATTTTTGTATGAGAAATTAACTTGAGCTGTAAAATTTCATCTAAAGCACAATAAAATAAAAAAGAAAGAAGGAAATTCAAGTTCTGTCTTCAGCTCAAAGCAAAAATAGCAAAACTGGCCACTTATCTGATTACTTATCCCAGCTGCTGCACTTATTTTCAATTTAGTTGATTTTAATTTGCTATAAAGTGCTATAAAATACCTTCTTTTAACTGACATCACACAAAATTCAGGGTGATGTGAATTTCTCTTTCAGTCGCAATGCTCATTAAAAAGTTAGTGTCACTGTTTTCTCCCTTCCCCTGACTGCACACCTAGGTTTCAAAGGTAAAAATGCTCCTTACCTGAAATGTGAACTTAAAAGGAAGAGCTAGGTAGGGCTGGTTGTTAGAGGTTCTCAAGCATGCACTAATAATGCTGAACTTCATGTTTATGGTACTCTGGGCTCCGGAAAACATGGGGCTTCTGAAACCTGCTCACTCAGTGGCCGTCAACTCACTTCAAATCCCTGCCGGCTTTCTCAAATAAAACTTATTCCCCTCATTTCTGGTGAAAAAAAAATAAAACAAAACAAACAAATACAAAAAAACCAGTATGGATTGCACCTCAACTTAAAGAAAACAAAAATCCTCACAACTAGACCAATAAGTAACATCACAATAAATAGAGAAAATACTAAACTTGTCAAGGATTTCATTTTACTTGAATCCACAATCAACGCCCATGGAAGCAGCAGTCAAGAAATCAAATGATGTATTACATTGGGCAAATCTGCTATAAAAGATCTCTTTCAACTATTAAAAGGCAAAGATGTCACTTTGAGGACTAAGGTGCGCCTGACCCAAGCCAAGGTATTTTCAGTCGTCTCATATGCATGCGAAAGTTGGACAGTAATAAGTAAGAAAGACCGAAGAAGAATTGATGCCTTTGAATTATGGTGTTGGTGAAGAATATTGACTATACCATGGACTGCCAGAAGAATGAACAAATCTGTCCTGGAATGAGTACAGCCAGAATGCTCCTTAGAAGCAAGGATGTTGAGACTTAGTCTCATGTACTTTGGACATGTTATCAGGAGGGACCAGTCCCTGGAGAAGGACATCATGCTTGGTAAAGTAGAAGGTCCGTGAAAAACAGGAAGACCGCCAACAGATGAATTGCCATAGTGGCTGCAACAATGGGCTTGACTGCTGCTTCCATAGGTGTTGATTGTGGATCCAAGTAAAATGAAATCCTTGACAGCTTCAATCTTTTCTCCATTTATCATGATGTTGCTTATTGGTCCAGCTGTGAGGGTTTTTTATTTTCTTTATGTTGAGCTGTAACCATACTGAAGGCTGTGGTCTTTGATCTTCATCAATAAGTGCTTCAAGTCCTCTTCACTTTCAGCAAGCAAGGTTGTGTCATCTACATATTGCAGGTCATTGATGAGCCTTCCTCCAATCCTGATGTCATGTTCTCCTTCATATAGTCCAGCTTCTCAGATTATTTTCTCAGCATACAGTTTGAATAAGTATGGTGAAAGGACACAATCCTGATGTACTTTCTTAACTTTAATCCACACAGTATTCCCTTGTTCTGTTCGAATGAATGCCTCCAGGTTCCGCATGAGCACAATTAAGTGTTCTGGAATTCCCATTCTTTGCAATGTTATCCATAATTTGTTATGATCCACAGGGTGGAATGCCTTTGCATGGTCATTAAACACAGGCGAACATCTTTCTGGTATTCTCTGCTTTCAGCCAGGATCCATCTGACATCAGCAATGACATCCTTTGTTCCACATCCTTTTCTGAATCCTGCTTGAATTTCTGGCAGTTCTCTGTCAATATACTTCTGAAATTGCTTTTGAATGATCTTCAGCAAAATTTTATTTGGGTGTAATACTAATGATATTGTTCGATAATTTTCACATTCTTTTGGCTCACCTTTCTTTGGAATGGGTACAAACAAGAATCTCTTCCAGTCAGTTGGCCAGGTAGCTGTCTTCCAAATTTCTTGTCATAGACGAGCAAGCACTTCAGTGCTGCATCTGTTTGTTGAATCATCTCAATTGGTATTGTTAGTTCCTGGAGACTAGCTTTTTGCTAATGATTTCAGTGCAGCATGGACCTCTTCCTTCAGAACCATCAGTTCTTGATCATACGCTACCTCCTGAAATAGTTGAATGTCAACCAATTCTTTTTGATACAGTGTCTGTGTATTCCTTCCATCTTCTTTTGATGCTTCCTGAATCATTTAATATTTTCCCCATAGATATCATTGCTGATGTCCTTCGATTGCAAGGCTTGAATTTTTGTCTTCAGTTCTTTCAGCTTGAGAAATGCTAAGAGTGTTCTTCACTTATGGTTTTCTATCCCCAGGTCTTTGCACATGTCATTATAATACTTTATCTTCTCGAGCCGCCCTTTGAAATCTTCTTTTCAACTCTTTTACTTCATCATTTCTTCCTTCTGCTTTAGCTACTCTATTTTCAAGAGCAAGTTTCCGAGTCACTTCCGACATCCATTTTGGTCTTTTCTTTCTTTCCTGTCTTTTTAATGACCTTTTGCTTTCTTCATGTATGATATCCTTCATGTCATTCCACAGCTCATCTGGTCTTCAGTCATTAGTGTTCAACGTGTTAACTCTATTCTTGAGATGGTCTCTAAATTCAGGTGGGATATACTCAAGGTCGTACTTTGGTTCCCATGGACTTCTTCTAATTTTCTTCATCTTCAACTTGCATATGAGCAATTGATGATCTGTTCCACAGTCGGCCCTTGGCCGTGTTCTGACTGATACTGAGGTTTTCCATCGTCTTTTTCCATAGATGTAGTCTATTTGATTCCCGTGTGTTCCATCTGGTGAGGACCACATGTATAGTCATCATTTATGTTGTTGAAAAAAAGGTATTCACATTGAAGAAGTCCACTGGTCTTGCAAAATTCTATCATGCACTCTCCAGCATCATTTCTATCACCAAGGCTGTATTTTCCAATACCAATCCTTCTTCTCTGTTCCCAACTTTTGCATTCCAATCACAAGTAATTATCATGTGTGATTGCATGTGTGATCAATTTCAGACTGCAGAAGTTGGTAAAAAAATCTTCAATTTCTTCATCTTTGGAGTTAGTTTGGTCAATACCAGTCAATTTCAGCTCACTAATGCCTAAGATATTGATCTTTATGCAGCCCATTTCATTTTTGATGACTTCCAGTTTTCCTAGATTCATACTTTGTAATTCCATGTACTGATTATTAATGGATGTTTGCAGCTGTTTCTTCTCATTTTAAGTTGTGCCACATCAGTAAATGAAGGTCCTGAGAGCTTGACTCCATCCATGTTATTAAGGTTGACTCTGCTTTGAGGAGGCAGCTCTTCCCCAGTCATATCTGAATGCCTTCTAAACCTGAGGGTTTCATCATCTAGCACTGTATCAGACCATGTTCCTCTGCTATTCATAAGGTTTTCACTGGCCAATTTTTTCAGAAGTAGACTGCCAGTTCCTTCTTCTTAGTTTGTTGTAGTCTAGAAGCTCCGCTGAAACCTGTTCACCAAGGATGACCCTGCTGGTATTTGAAATACCAGTGGTAAATCTTCCAGTAACACAGCAACACTCAAGCTACCACAGTACAACAAACTGAGAGATACAGGTATCTGATGTAGTCATGCCCAATCATATACATATTAAGACACGTATTATTTTATTATGGATCCCTTGACTTTTGTTTCTCTTATATAGTACGATTAAGACATTAAATTGATAGTTTTGAAATTGTATGTAAGTAGCTTATATTATCAATGACTTTTATTTCAGGATAGTTAAGGAGGTATTATAAAGTATTGCTCATAAAAAAGATTCATTGCGTGCATTAGCCAGGATTTTCTTTTGCTATTAAAGACATTATTGGAACAATTGTCAATATTTGAATTAAATCTATAGATCAAATAATAGCTTGTATTAAAGTTAATTTCCTGATTTTAAAATTTACAATGTGGTTTTCTAAAAAAAAGTCAACACTTTCAGGAAATAAAATGGAAATACTTAGGGGTAAATATATATATACATTAATTCTCAGTATGTATATTATTGGAGATTGACAATCAGTGAACAAGATGATCTTTGCTAAGGTTAGGGCAGGGGAGGATTATAAAAACAGTCCTAATTCCTTATAATTTTAATAAGGTTTAATAAGTAACCAGGGAAAAAATCTTTATCAGGGTTTATAAGTACACAAAATGTCATGTCAAAGGTTAATTGCTATTAATGTCACTTGAAATGTCCTTGGAGGCAATAATGGACTCCTACGACCATATCATTCCAACCAACCGAAGACCTGCAGTCACATGCTCCCCTCCTCCAGTTCCACAACATTCCAGCCCTTCCCTAACCCCTCCCCACCACCAGAAACCCACCACTCCAGGAGGCTGCATCCCTTGGGACTCTTTTGGTCACCGTCATTCTGCCCTAGCACCTTGTTCATGCCTTTAGGACCATAAAACTGTAGATATCAGAGCCAGAGGAGAACTGGGAGATTAGTGAGTCCAACACACTGTGGACCATGGGAGCCCAAGGGCCCAACACACTTGGGCGCCTCTGCTTCCTTCTGCCTCTCCTAACCTTTCACATCTTGCGGACTTGTCTAATGCCTTCTCCATGAAGACGACCTCCATATTCCACCCATCAAGGACCACTCTCTTTTCCTGAGTGTCCATAGCACATGTCTGTACTTGTCCACACATCTCTATTTCAGTTAACATTTTAGTATCGTCACATATATTGTCATAAAGTGCTAAGTATTTCATGTCTAAGATTCTGGTGAGCTCCCAGCACACAGGAATCTTTGTTACCTCTAAAATGGAGCTAGCTAGCAAAAAGTAAGTGCTGAAAAAATGCTCACACTGCATTAGGAAGGCTCATGCCATCTAATCTGAATGGTTGTTTTTTTTCCAACAGTGAATCAGCTCAACAGAAGAGCAATAGTGAGGATCAGCTGCTTTTTTTATGAACATTGAGACAACTGCCTGGACTGTAAACTTCCAGATTATTTCATTAGTCACTGATAGATGAGAAGGAAATGATTTGCTCTTTGTTTTCTACTCGTGCTGCTGAATCTTCTTCTTTCTTCCCCCGCCCCCCTTTACTCACTGATTATCTCCAAGGAACAGAAACTTTAAAAATTTTTTAAATTATTTTAACACTAATTTGTAGGAGCAATCTTAGATAAAATAGAATAAGTGTAAGAAAATTCAGTGTAGACAATGCAAAACACTTTTCTTTGGCTTCATGTGTCAGATAGTTCAGCTGAAAATAAAAATATAAACCCAGAATGATTCTGCCAAAGAGAATGAAGAGGGTATTGTGTGATGGAAAGGCAGGAGACCAGAGAAGTCCTCCTCTTTTCCACTACTAATAACTGTGTTACTTGAACGAGACATTTTGTTCTTTCTGTACATCCATTTTTTCATTTCCTTAATGAGAAGGTGAACCTACAATCTGAAGCTTCTCACAACTTGGAAGTCTACTACTCTATGAACACAGGGTCTCTGAAGCTCCTGTTTTCCCGCAAAGACTTGGTAGAGAGACCCAGCTTGTTAACACACCTACATGGCTCCAGCTGTAAAGGCTGTCAGTAGTCTACTCCTCTAGCTCTCTGATCTTAGCTCTCTACCCCATCAAGGCAATTACTCAAAAACAAACAGCCAGGAGGCTCTGAACTTACTAAGATTCTCAAAATCACATAGATTATGAGGGACGGAATGGAGAGGTAGACCTGGAGTCGATTCCCACCAGAGTGCTTCTTCAGATATTCTGGCATGGTCATCACCTGCAGAGACAGACGCCTACAGGGATTCACCGCAGCGCCCAGCACATTTGGACAATTCAACATTTACTAAGCACCTACAGGTGGTTAAGCACTGTGCATGGCACCTTGGGAATACAGAGGTGAGAAAGGAATGACCCCTTGGGAGAGCAGCAAGGCACAGGAGCTGGAGTCAAAGAATCCTGGTATCTGTTCTTAGCTCTGACATTTACTGCTTCATCAGGCTCCTGCCCATTGCTCCACCCAGTCTCCATTGCCAACATCCACACCCTGGCCCCAGTCCCTGTGCTTCAGCCACATGGAACAACTTCCAGGTCCCCAAACATGCTGCACACTCTCTCATTCTGGGCCATTGCAGGCACTATTTCCCCTGTGTGAGAAACCATTTTCACCATCTTTGACTGGCAGACCCATTCCTCAAGCCTCCACTAAGGTGGTCTTTCCTCAGGGAAGCTTCCTTCGATGCCCAGCTTGCATTAGGAATCTTTCCATAGCTCCCCAGAATCTCCCAACACAGCCTTCCTACATGTGATGTCCAATCTATTTGTCCCTCTTTCCTGGTTGGAGAGAAGTGGCTTCCTGTTCTCAGACACATCCCTGAGGCACATGGTGGGAGCTCAAACAACATTTCTGAAGAGAAAGACTCTTCAATGGATAACTCTAGCCAAGATCTCCGTCCTGACCGACATGCTCATTTGCCTGATGGGTGCATTCATGCTAGTGTCTGAAAGGAACCAAGACCTCACTAAGTTCCAAAATGAACTCGTTATTCTCCCTGTTGTGTATCATATGGTCTCCTCTGGGATTCCCTCCCTCCATTAACAGTGGCCTTATGCACCAGGTCCCTGAGTGTATAGTCTTAGGATTGCTCTAGATGCTTCCCTCTCCACTGCCTTCCCTTAATCTGTCATCTCTACCTCAGAAACTTCTCCCCTTCCTCTCTGTTTCTTTGCCTATAGCCTCCCAAAGCATCATATAAACTTTCTCATTATCTTATCTTCAGCAGGTTTCCCCTCAAGTCCATTTTCCACTCAGCTGTCTGAGTGGAACTTCCTAAAACTAGAATCTGATCATGACCCTTGACTGCTTGAAAGCCCACATTTACTGCCTGTTTCTAGGAGAATAAAGAGCATACCTTTCAATCTCAGACACACACAAGGCTTTCCACCATCAAATCTACCTACACCTGCAGACCACCTCCAACCCACCACTTCTCCCACATATTTAACCATAGTTTCCCTTGACCCCCATCACTGCAAGTCCTTTCATGATTTTTAGTCTCTTTATATTGTTTCCACCAATCCTCCATGATCCCACTTTTCTACCCACAGAAGTATTACTTATTCCTCAAGACTGGACTCAGGTAATCTCTAAGAATCATGTTCTGAAGCACGTGTGTGGCCCAGCTTTAGTATTCCTGCACCACGCTGGCTGACCTCTATTGCAGTGGTCATTGTTCAGGGCCATTACTGATTTGTCTCCTTGCTGCAGCCACAGTATACACTGGGAGTCTCTCTAGGGAAGGAACTGCATCTTGGTTACCCGCATATTTCTAGAAACAGGCCAGCTGAGTGCCAGGTACCTAGACATCATGATTGAACAGAATGAATGAGTGAATAAATGAATGTATAAAGTACATCTGAAAGATAGGCACAGGACACCCAGTTGAAGATACTCACCCCCGCCTTGATGTGTATGGGGACAAAAGAACCACCCTACAGCCAGCAACAGCAGCAAGGCCTATAGAAACAAAGGGAAAAGAAGTAAATTTAAAGAGATATGGTTGTGGACCTTATCACTTCATGAACTCTGAGTCTGGGGAAAAAAAGTTTGCTTAGATCCTGTTTCACTTCACCCAGTTATGACCCCCAGACAGCAACCGTGGGTTCCTGTCCTGTTTCCATGATTCAGAGGTTACAGTGTCTAGGGGCTTAGGATGTGACAAAAGCTGTGTGGTGAAAAATGAACAGAAGATAAAGGGTCTGAGCCTAGCTGCACCCCAGAAGATTATACAGTCTTTGCCAAAATAAAATAATCTTGGAATGGAAGGAATTACAGGCAGAGTGACAAAGCAATGAGAAAGAAAGTTGGAGATAAGATATTACTAGTCCTCCCCCAAGTCTTAAAATATAATGACAATCATATAATCTTGCATTAATATGTAATGTTTACAGAGAGCCTTCACATGTATCACTCATGTTGCTCTCATGACAACCAGGTGAGGCAGATAAGCACAGTCATTCTTATCTGATGGAGCAGGAACCTGAGGCTTATTGAGATAAAGGAAGCCCAAGGGCACACGTGATAAGAGGTGCAGCTGGGATCCCTGCGGCCTGATAACCACACCTACTCAGCCAAAGTGCACATCTGTCCTTATCTCTAGGTGTTGTGTTCATTCCAGGTCCCTGACATTATCTAAGAAAAACCAGGGGCAAAATATTCAACAAAGAGGCGCAGTTGTTCGTAATGACTCAAGGTCACTTCCTAAGTCCATCTGATGGTCTGCTTACACTTGCACTATGATTCAGATTTCTTCTATACAGGCATCTCCCTCTGACCGATATGTACTCATGTGTACATGCAAATGCTGGAAATGATAAGAGAAAAAACTCAACCACCTCAAGAAATATTTATGGCATATTCACCATGTGCCCAGCCATATGCAGGATGATGGAGTTGTGTGAGTGGAGAGAGAACATGACCCCTCGTCTTAAAGAACTTAGAGTCTAATTAAGGAGACACAACTTCTATGGTAAAATGACAATAGGACACTTGGGAACTCAATCACAAAGCCTGTAGATTCTACCTACCGTCTTTCAAATCAGTCACTGTTCACTCCACTGTCACTGACTTGGTCAGGCCCCACTTGTTTAATTCCTACTTCTCCTCCTGGTATCAGCTTCAGAAAGCTCCTACCGTATGTCCCACCCCTTGTCCACAATAGATGCCCTTCCTGTGAGATCCCCCAATAGCTGCCCATGCTTCTGCCCTTATACTGGCTAAGCTGTACTGAATGTGTGTCTGTCTCTCCCACTGGAATGTAAGCTCCTCAAAAGAAGGAAGCATAGTTTTTACATTTTTTAATTCCTTGTATCTAGTTCAGAGCTGGACCTATAGTGTGATAGCTCAGAGAAGAGAGAGACAATTGAGAGCTAAAGTGGCCAAGGAGGTCAAGTGAAAGTGGGCTTGAGTCAGATAGAAATCACATTCATGGTGGGAGTAACTACTTGAACAAAATCTCAAAGGAGGGGAATGATACGTCTGGAAGAAAGGTCCTGAAAGTCAAAAAAGGGATGGACTAGGAGAGGGTAAAAATAGAAATCAAACCAAAGAGAAGTTTATCCCATACAGACTCTCCGAAAAAAAAAAATGGATATGGGCTTGACTGAAAAGGAAAAAGCCTGTGATGTGACTTATATTCCATTCAGATGATGCAATGGCAATGCCTGAAGCTGCTCCCGTTCCAGCCAGCGACACAAAGTGGCTACTGCCGATGTTACTGGCAAAAAGGGAGGTACCCATCTGGAATCCAAGAAAACAGATTAAGATCAGAGTTGAAAGACTCAAATCAGAATTCTTGAAAACAGGTAAATGTTGAGATGCTTCAATTGCTACTCCAGAGGGCAGGAGGTGGCAAACTAAGGCTGTGGAGTAAATCTGCCCATCACTTGTTTGTATGGCTCCTAAACTAGGAATGATCTTTACAGGTTTAATGTTAAAACAAAACTAAATAAAGCCAAAACAAACAGACAGTCTAGAGAGGAAGAATATTTTGAGAAATGTGAAAATTGTATGAACTTCAAATTTTAGTATCCGTAAATAAAGATTTACTGTAATACAGTCACACTCATTTGTTTATGTATTGACAATAGCTGTTTTTGTGCTAGAATGGCAGAGTTGAGTGGTTGTGATAGAATGTATGGCTCGAAAACCATAAATACTTACAATGTGGCACCCTACAGAAAAATCTTGCCAGCTGCTGCCTTAGGGGAACTTTGGCCTTTCTACCTCCAACTCTAAGTTGAGCCTGTCCTTAGTCAAGAACTTCCAAACCTCCCATCAGCCCTGGCTCTTCTGATCAGCCTCAAGAACCCCAAAACTAGGGAAGAATGGTGCTTCCTTCCATCCTCCTGGCCCTAGGACCCTCTTTTAATCCAGTACCCTTTCCACACATCAAGTCTTAAGTCTCTAGATCAAGAGAGATCTCTTGAGTGGGCACGGATGAGCCCTAGTCCTGACAGGCCTGAATTAGTGTGTGGGACCCCTGCAGTGCCCATTCCTCAAGTGCACTGCTCTCTGTTCCCACCTTTCTAGTCCTCTGTAAAATCAACTTTTCTACTCAGACATTTGGGCCTCAGGGATGGGATTGAGGTTGTTTGTGGCTATATGATTGGCTCAGCTCTGAGTATTTCCAAAAAATAATCCTAAATAGGACAAAGCAGGTAATGTCTGATTGGACACCCCAATAAAAATCCATTTCAAGCTTTCAGTTGGTCACTGGTTGTCCCCTTTAATCACTCTGGTCAGGTAATTTCCCAATATCAATATGTTTTCATACTGTATGGACAATGAGCTCAGCAGATCTGTGAATGAGGCACTTACTGAGCACCCACTGTATACCCAGTCTAGCACTGACACTCTAAGTGGTTCAGAGGAGAAGACATACCCTCTGCTGCAATAAGGGGCAGGGAGGGCAGGCAAAGGCCAGAACCCAGCAAAGAAAACACCAAATGGGCAAGAGTCAAAGAGACCTCAACACTGGCCTCATCAAAGGGGAACACACACTCCATTAACAACTAACTCCACTCAGTGCAAGGACTAAAAGTTCAGATGAAGGCTGGAGCGAGCTGGAATGCTTCTCAGATGAAGAAGGGCTTGAGCTGGGTGTTGAAAGAGGACAGCAGAGAGGGGGAGGCTAATCCAAATAAGACGGGACTCATTAACTCAGGCTTGGGAACAAAGAGGGAATGTGCTGGCATAGTATGAAGCCAAGGCAGAAAATTCTGGATGAGGAACAGGGGAAAAGAATCTGAGGGAGAGCTAAACCAGGGTCGTTAAATGTTGGACAAGTGGCTCTCATAACTGGTGACAAAGTATAACTTATTAAAACTACAAGGAAGAGCCCTGAGGTCAGGATTTAGGAAAAGAAATGCCAGCAAGTGGGCAACCAGTGTAGTTCAGAAAATATCATCAGTCCCCATGTTTCCTTTATTCACTCTTACACACACAACGGAAATGTAATTTCAGGAAGCCTTGGCCCACTCACCGGCCACCAGCTCACATCTCGACCAGCCAGGAAGAACCCTCCAACAGTGCTCCAGTTGGTCTTCAGCATGACGTGAGCAGAAGGGAAGACAAGGGAGGGTCAAACTGAACACATTCACTAAGGAGCCCGGGTGCTCTGTCCAGGGTGCTGAAAGAGGCGACGGCTGCAACACTTCTAAAGAGAGAATCGTTTTCTGGAAGCTGTGATATAACTGAAGTCCTGCTTGAGGACTTCAAAAATCCATAGTTACATAAAAACCCAGAGCTGGAAGAAACTTGAGAAATCCTATTCCTCAACTGCTATCCTAAGTGCTCTGGTTATTTTAATTTACTCAAACAATGTCAGATACCACTAAAGCTGGGCTTGAAAGAAACTTTGCAGGCTCAACCACATTACCAAAAAGAAAGAACAAAAGTAAATGGACTAAGCATCCAACTCACTAAGTTAGAAAGTGAGCAAACAACAAAGGCAAGTAAAATGAATGAGATGATAAAAATAAAATCCTTATTCACTCATGCCAGTAACTGGGGATGCCAAACAGAGTAAGTCTGACTTCCCAGTGCTGGCTCTCTTCAAAACAATGGGGTTGTTAGGAGAATAAATTAACTCACACAGTTCAGTCTAAACCTTACTTATGTCACACACAGACAAACGACTCTGATACAAAGACGGTGAAATTTGTGAAAGCTGTCACGTTTCCTCAGCTTCGTCACTCCACACCTCTCCCTCCATAAGATGCCTTCCCCACATGTCTTGTGCCCACCCCAAAGCCCCAATGAGCTCCCACATACCCACACCCCAACTACTATCATCAATATGAAGTAAATGACGATGACAGAGATGTCAGCAGCGTTTCGGATTCATTCTGACAACACAGGCTGCTCCGTGGCCCTGGCCGTGGTTCTGGGCTTAATGTGCTGGCCATGGCTGCAAGTGGGGCTTCTCCTTCCCAGGGTGGCCCCTTTCTTATATAAGCTGTGGGTTAATGATCAGCCTCAGGCAGGTGGGGCGTGTTATCAGAGCTGGTGCCTGGCATGGGGACCTTTAAACCTCTCCTCTGAAGCTGGACTCTGAGACCCTGGCTCTCCAGCAGTCAGTGTTGGCCTAGTTGGAGGTTGAGAATGAGGCATGAGGGTCGAGAAATGGGGTAAGAATTGGAGGTGGAGGGTGCAGGGTCACTGTGTGGATACACAGGGCCTTTATGAAGACTTAACCAGGTTGAGTGAGGATTAGGGAGAGACAAAGAGAGAGATAGAAGAGAAAGACGGAAGTGAAGAGGCCAGAAAACAGCCAGGAAGGGACAGAGGGCAATGGTCCCTTATGGATCAGTTAAGATTCCTGAACCAGAAGTTATATCCCTTGAAAATGAAGTTAATTATGCATTTCATGGGTTCTAAAGACCTATATTTTTCTGTAAGGGTAACTTGAAATGGGCTTCATATGACACATCAGGACTGTGGTGACCTATGCAAGAAAGGGAAGTGACTCTAAGAGCACAGCACACGGTGGGGGGCCAGGGGGAGCAATGACAGTGCTATTGGTGGCTAGATCAGAGGTTTTGACCTGAAAGCATGACTTGGGGCTCATGACCCCAGGGCCACAGCCAGAAGTTCAAGGTTAATCCTTGACAGTCTTGATTTGCACCTGTGGCCAATATGAATGGTCTGGTTGTTGATCGTTTGTTATTTGAGAATGCCAAGGGATCCAGGGTCATTCAAGAGAAGTCTTCCTCCTCCTGAGGGTGAACCAGAACCAGACACATCACTAACTAAGTGCTGGGAGTCCTCAAATAGCCCACCTGGAAGAATAGAAACTCCCGTGCAGGGAAGGCAGTCTCATCATTCATTTCATCAGGGAGAACCACCTAGTTCCAAAATAAGGAGTATAGGCTCCAGGGCTGACCCTTAACTTCCGTGAACCTTATACCACTTTCAGCTGTAAAGTGTGGATAGTAATGCACTCCCACCTGGATGGAGACCACTTAGCCTAATCTTTATGAATCAATGATCACCAGTCAGGACATCCAAGAAATTAAGGGCTGTGGTCATATGATCTCAAAGAAGAGGGATCTGAGGTTAACTCTTACAATGTTTCAGTAGAGTGCTGCTGCTTTGGGATGAAGGATGGCCCCAGGATATACAATTATTCCCACTTTGAGATAGAATCAAATTCTGAGACTGTCAGTGAAGAACATCTCCAGAAAGAAGGGCGGACCCAGACAATTACATTCCAATTGAGTTCCATCCCAAGAGCCATGGTGTAGCTTCTGCAACCACACCAAGAAAGCAAGAATTCAAACCAGAGGAACAAAATGCTAACAAAGGGCAGACTTAGCTGGAAGTAGAGCAGGTAATTATGAATGAATGACCCCATCTTTCATTCATTCAGACAAACATTACTGAATGCCTAAGTAATTGCAAGCACAGTAAAAGCCATAATGAATGAATCTAAAACAGGGAAATTCATAATGGACATATTAAAAGAAGAAACTGCCCGAGGAAAACATGCATCAAACATCACGGGGCTGCTGTTTCTTAGTCTACCTCTTTCTAGCATGACTGAGTGGACTTTATTCTTGCACATCTAGTATCTACAGCTGACTATATCACATTGGCTTCAAATACGTGTTTTAACAGCAAAATAATGATTTTTTGTCCAAATAGCCTGTAATTACACCAGTATACCTTTATCTCACTGGGCAAAATTTACAACTGGCTTGCTTCCCTTCCACGCCACAGAATGGGACTAAAGGAATGCAGAGTAAATAATCTGGCCTTCATGAGCACACTCTGCAGCAGAAATCAAGACTCAGATGGAATAAGTGTGGCAGAAGATAGCCACGGCCAGCAAGACAATGATGTTGATGTTCACCATTGTTCACCACAAAGGCTTCTCAGAGGTGTCCGTCAGCTTCGGCTGCATTGCTGCCTCCTCTTCCTTGGTAATCTTGGGACACTTCTCCAGGTCCAGCCCACAGAACAGGTCATAGGACCACTGGAAGCATACTTTATTCTCCACAGGAACTAAAGGATTATTGGATACAGGAGGAAGAGGGAACACAATAAGTTTCTATAGGAACAGTCATTCAGAACACTTTACAGAGATGCTTTTCATCCACTTTGGAGAATCTGCTCAACTCTCTTGACCGATGGAAATGATGCAAAGTATTAATAGGCACTTAACTCATTGTAAGGAAATGGAATAGATAAACTCTTCATTCTCATCATCAGTAAGACTAAATTTTGAACATATTGTGCCCAATGCAAACGCATTTCAAAGTAGATCAGTCACAGAATCCACGGCGTAATTTAGTAAAATCATACCAGTGAGGCCTAAAATCAAACATAAAAAAAACTTATGAGAGAAAAATGAGCAATAAGCTGGGGAACTCTGACATAGGAAGGACATGGAAAACCCAACTCAGAAATACATGAACTCATATCTGTTTGCTACATCTCTGGGAAGCAATGAGACCAGCATGACTCAGGAGTGCATTGGCTGTACCTGGAAATTCCAAAGCTTCATAACAGACACAGCCAGGCAGCAAGGATGGTCTGAAGATGTCACTGCAGTAATCAACGCTTTCAGGGCTAAAGACTTTCTGTGGTGTGGCACCATAGCTTAATCAACTCATCTAGTTTGTTCTACCACTCAAAGTGGATGCCTATCACAGGAACTGGCTCTCTGCTCTGAGCCTAGTGCAGCATGGGAGGTAGATAGACCTGGGATCCAGTTCCAGCTCTGCCAATCACTGGCTATGAGGTCTAGGCCTCTGTGTTTTCAGCACCATGGTCGGGGCCTTGGGCTCTGCACACACCCCAGTACTGTATTGAAAACTTAGTCAGAAATTTAGAACTGGAAAGGACCTTATAGAACAAGATCACTTACTCCTCTGTCAGAGTTGGGACTAATTCCCATATTTTGGCTTTGGCCAAATTGCCACACTCTCTGGTCCTCAATTTTAGAATTTGACTAGTAATAACTACTTCACAGAATTACTATGATCAGCTCTGCCACTCCAGGTGACGTTCATGGAAAACATATGACATACTCATATTCCACATTTCTCACCAAGCAGTACATTTCCAAGGAAACAGTGCTATGAAAAGGTGGACCCCAGGCCATCTTCCCAGGCAGACAGTCTGTAGAAAAGGGTTCAGGCCTGCTGTTGACTTTTTATTCACAGGCCCACCCTAGGACCTCAAGTCAATGCACTCACATTACATATTCCTCAGATATTTTGTGAACTTATTTTGACAAACACATCTCTAATAATTTATTCACTGTTTCTATCAAAAATATTATGTGCCCCATGAGACTGTCAACTGAGCATATTCTACTCTGGATACAGGTTTGTCTGGGTCTTCCTCATGGCTTCCTCACAAGCTGTCTTTTTAGAACTCCAAAAGAGAGTCAGTTGACCACCATATTACTCCTATGTGCCCTCCTCTTGAGGCCATGCTGGTTCCATGGTTGATTTTCTTAAATGATTTCCATCCACATTCATGCCTCAGTATTCAGAAGATCACCGAGGACTCTGACATATGGAGCAGGCAGTGGCAATTTGCTTTCCATCATACCCAGGAAGCTGTCTTAGTAAAGTGTCATTGTGATTCACAGCCATACAGATCACAGAAACCTGACTATTCAATAACTCTGCCCTATGCAATTCAAGGAAACCCTGGTGGTGTAGTGGTTAAGAGCTATGGCTGCTAACCAAAAGTTTGGCAGTTCAAATCTACCAGGTGCTCCTTGGAAACTCTATGGGGCATTTCTACTCCATCCTATAGGGTCGCTATGAGTCAGAATCGACTTGACAGCAACGAGTCTTTTTTTATATGCAGTTCAAAGGTGTATCTCTCTCAGATTATCTGTAAAAGAAAAGATTAAACACAGCTCACAAAACGTGAGCCAAACAGTGGTTCCAACCAGATACTGATCCATTGAACCCTAAGATGGCATTGTGTCACATGTGTCCACCAGATCACTCAGGTGGAGTCCACATCAATTGGCCTCTTCTCCCTTTCAGAGGAGAACCATTCCAGAAGCTTCTCCAAGCAATAAGCATAACTTGGTATCATATCTGAGAGAAACAGCCATGAGTACTATTATCTTGCCCTGAGAGTCTCACTCTTGAGGAGAGAGAGTATATCTTTCCCTTAAGTTGTAACTCATTTGTTGGCACCTTGTTCCCTGAATTTCCTCTTTCCTCCATTTATTATCCATCCTAACCCAGACTTGGTTTCTCCAGATGGGGCCTCTAGTTCAGATATACTGCAGACAAATAAAGAAAGCAGCAATAGAAGTCTTCCAGGGTCCTTCTTTTGTCAAAGTCCAGGAGGAGGAGGTAAGGTTGGAGAAGTAAAATATTATAGGACCAGCTCTACATGAAGTAGCAGATGGCACTGTGGTCAGTCCTAATCTGGACACGTGATACGAGGTTAATAGCTAACTCAGAGTTTCCTTAAAAAATCAAAAGAATATTTCAGATAAATGGAATCATATAATATTTATATAAAATATACAGAATAGGCAAATCTATAGAGACAGAAAGCAAGATAGTGGTTACCTTGGATTAATGGGGATTGAGGAATTGGTGGGTGATGGCTTAGGGGTAGAGATTTCTTTGTGAGGTGATGAAAATGTTCTAAAATAGATTGGGGTGGTGATTACAAAACTCTATGAAAATAGTAAAAGCCATTGACTTGTATACCTTAAATGGGTGAATTGTATGGTATACGAATTATATCTCAATAAAGCTGCTTAAAAATCAAAAGAATAGGGACAATATCTTAAGTAGCAATGTCCCCTTTATAACACACAAATGCAACCCTGGGTCCAAGACCACTGGCTCCAGTTACACAAAAGGGAAACTTCGTGAAGTGGAAAAACCAGAAAATTGTGTCTCTGCATTGTTCCACACTCCAGTACTCAGAAGCTCCTCCACAGGGAGTCCCCATTTATGAGTCCCATATTTAAGCCAGTCACATCGTCAGCTTGTCTAGTAGTCAACCCTTCTTGCCCTCATCAATACCTGTATTTAACAGTAAATGTTTAAATTTACCTTTTTTGATTTTTAGTTTAGAGACTGCTCTGTGAGTTGTAAAGGATATACATTCATACAAAAATTGTGATTTTAGCCCATTTTAGCCATCTTGAAATGTGTTTCTTGATTCTATGAGATGTATGTCAGAAGACTAAATGGACTGAAAGTACATCCTTCAAAACCCTTGATAGTGTTCTCAGTGGTGGTTTCAGGTGCAGGGCAAATGAAACCCAAGGAGGAAGAAGTCTGTATTCCTATCAATTCCTGTTTTAATCCTCCGGAAACAATGCACTCTGGTCCTGTGTAGTACACCTGTTAGTTATGTGGCAGCCCTTGTCCTCAGGCCATTCTCCTCAAAGCCATTATAATATAGAGTTTTTCTTGACTTTTAGGACAGTCCCTCCAACCTCTGAGGCTTCATCATGACTTGACCTCAACTCTGCCCACTCATTTCGTGTACTCAAATGTCCACCTCCAGAGGCTGGGCAAACATATCCAACCTGGCATCCTAGTCCCCCGGTGAGCCAGCAGTTGGATTCTTTTGATGGGCGTCTACACCACCCACTTTCATTGTCCTTTAGAAGTCTTACGGGACCTTTTCATAATTGAATTCTCAATACCAGACCAGAGCATTCTTTTTTTGTGTATGTGTGTGAGGCCGTGCGTGCTTTTTTTTTTTTTATTGTTGAATAGTATTTTATTGTATGGATGTGCCACAGTTAATGGACATTTATGCTGTTCCCAGTTACACATTATTATAAATAAAGCTTCTATAAACATTAATATACACATCTTTTTAGGAAATATGCTTTCATTTCTATTTGGTAAATATCTAGGAGTGAAATGGCCAGATCATATGATATAAAACCAAAACCAAACCCATTGCCGTTGAGTCGATTCTGATTCATAGCGACCCTACAGTAGGACAGCGTAGAACTGCTCCATAGAGTTTCCAAGGAGTAGCTGGTGGATTCAAACTGCCGGCCTTTTGGTTAATTGACATAGCAGACCAGAGCATTCTTGATTGTACATTAATTAAAGGCCTACTTGCCTGACCATATGGTGTGACCATTAGGTATGGTTCAAGAAACTTTGAATACCCGGATGTTACCCTGTGAAAGACAAGCAAACTCTTCCTGTGCTGCCATATATATTGTTCTTACTTTAGCCTACCATGAGGACTTAACTTTGTGTTCATCGGAGAATGAAGCACCCTGCTTTACTTCAGTGGAAAGAGGGATTAGGTTCACAAGATTCAGTTGTAGCAGTAGGTGGCCCCTTGAGGTGAGGGTGGTGGTTTCCACCACCAGTTCTAGAGGCAGACATTTCACCCATTCATGGATAGAGAGCATTCCCCCCAGAAATACTCCCCCTAAACTTAGCATGAGCCATTTCATTGAGGAATTTCGTGGCACAAGTCTTTATTAGAATGTCTTTTTGACATCACCTGAGACATAATAGGTTCTTAAGCCTCAATATAATCTGACATCTTTCATCCCAGTGTTGTTGTTATGTTGTTAGGTGTCATCAAGTCGGTTCAAACTCATAGCCATCCTATCTACAACAGAACGAAACACTGCCCAGTCCTGCACAATCCTCACAATCGTTGTTATGCTTGAGCCCATTGTTGTAGACACTGTATCAATCCATCTCATTGGGGGTCTTCCTCTTCTTCACTGACCCTCTACTTTACCTAGCATGATGTCTTTCTCCAGGGACTGGTCCCTCCTGATAACATGTCCAAAGCACATGAGACGAAGTCTGTCCACACTTGTGTCTAAAGAGCACCCCGGATGTACTTCTTCCAGGACAGATTTGTTCGTTCTTCTGGAAGTCCATGGTGTATTCAATACTCTTCGCCAACACCAGAATTCAAAGGCATCAATTTTTCTTTGGTCTTCCTTATTCATTATCCAGCTTTTGCATGCATATGTGGTGATTGAAAACACTATGGCTTGGGTCAGGCACATCTTAGTCCTTAAAGTGACATCTTTACTTTTTAACACTTTAAAGAAGTCTTTTGCAGTAGATTTGCCCAAGGCAGTGCGTCGTTTGATTTCCCGACTGCTGCTTCCATGGGCGTTAATTGTGGATCCAAGTAAAACGAAACCCTTGAAAACTTCAATATTTTCTCTTATTTATCATGACGTTGTTTATTGGTCCAGTTGTGAGGGTTTTTCTTTTCTTTATGTTGAAGTGCAATCCATACTGAAGGTTCAGCCCAGTAGCATGCTAAAACTGTCCAGCAGGCTACATGTAGCTCTGGAATCAGGGAGTGTTCTAGTCCAAATTCCAATGGTCACCTCTAGGTGGCTGCATAGACTTTCATCAGAAACTCCAGCTTGCCTGTGTTTTAGCTGCAGACGCATTCACAGCATTGGAATTAGGGTTGGGGTTTCCATTGTCCTTTCAGAATCCAGAACTGTTTAATATTTACTGCATAGGCAGGTTCCGGCAATTCTAAAAGCTCCCATTTAGTATAGTCAATTATACTGGGCCAAGTGTGGACTTCACCAAGCTGGTGATATCAAGACCTCCAGTTATGAATCCTGTCCATTTCATTTACACTTTTAGGTAAAGATGATAGCACGAGTACATATCTCTTTCTTTCTCATCTTCCAACTTGTGGTTTTGCCATGACCTTGGTACATTTTATCATAGCATCTTAATATTGCCTTCCTCCGGTCTGTAGGTATTACAATACATTGTTCATTGGTATGCACTACAGCTTAGCTCACTACTCCCAGACAGAGTAGAACTGCCCCATAGGGTTTCCAAGGAGCTCCTGGTGGATTCGAACTGACGATCTTTTGGTTAGCAGCCAAACTCTTAACCACTATGCCCCCAGGATTTCCCCTTTTATCACAGCATCTTAATATTACCTTCCTCCTGCCCCGTAAGATTATGATATATTGTTCATTGGTATTCACTAAAACGTAACTAACTCACTACTCCCAGGCCATTTAACATTTTTTGGGTAGCTTTTAATTTTGATACAATTTCAAACTTACAAAAAAGTTTCAAGAATTGCACAGTGTACCCCAGTATATCCTTCACCCAGATCACCATGTTAACATTCGCCATGTTGGCTTTTATTTGAGTGGTTGAATCAGAGAATCACAGCTTCAGAGATGGAAGGCATTTTGTTGAGGGGGGCAGGGGCTTGCTCGAAGGGACGTAGTGGGATGGGGCAGATGGGGGAGCCCTGCCTTTCATGCCACACCGGGCAGGAAGGAGGATCCCATACTCCATCCCTCCAGAATCCTCTCTCTCTCCCCCACTCCCACTCAGCACCTCACTCCTCAGAACATTCCCTCTACCTACCTCCATCTGTGACATCCTTTTCTGCCCCTCACTTTCATACCTGACTCATTCTTCAAGACTCAGCCCAGTATCACCTACTCCAGGAAGCCTTCCTGGATTGCTTTCCCCTTTGCCCCCACTCCCCAGGCTGAGAGGCATCCCCTTGCCCCTGCCTGTCTTCCCATACCACTAGACTGATGTGACCTCTGCTAAAAACTTGTCTTTGGCCAGCCCCACTCACCAGGTCGCCTCCTCCCCTCGCCCCAGGCCTGTGCTTGCTAGTGCCGCAACCCTCATCACTCTGTACTAGAATTGTTTGTTCTCTGCCCTCCCTGACTTTTGCGCTCCTTAAAGGCTGAGCCCTAACCCTCCTGCTCCTTTGTAAACAGCTTTATTGAGATACTGTTCACATACCGTACAATTCACCCATTTAAGGTATACAGTTCAGTGGTTGTGTAACCACCACCACAAAAACGAAATTTTTCGAGCATTTCAACTACCCCCCCCCCAAAAAAAAAAAAAAAAACCCACACCCATTAGCAGTCAGTCTCCATTGCCCTCTTCCCCCAGCCCCAGACAACCACTAATCTACTTTCTGTCTCTATAGATTTCCCCATTCAGGACATTTCACAGACATGGAATCATACAATGTGAGTCCTTTGTGACTGGCTTCTGTCACTCAGCATAATGATTTCAAGGGTCACCCACGCTGTAGCATGAAGTACTCCATTCCTTTTATGGCTGAATAATATTCCATGTTGTTTTTCCATTGATGGACACTTGGGTTGTTTCTACCGTTTGGCTATTGGGAATAAGGCTGTTATCAACATCCGTGTACAAGTTTTTGTGTGGACGTATGTTTTCAACTCTCTTTGGTGTATACCTAGCAGTGGCATTGCTAGGTCACCCTAAGGAGCGCTGGTGGTGCAATGGTTAAGTGCTTGGCTGCTAACTGAAAGACTGGCAGTTCGAACCCATCTGGTGATCTGCTTCCGTAAAGATTAATCCAAAGCCAAACCCATTGCCATCAAGTAGATTCTGACTCATAGTGACCCTATAGGACAGAGTAGAACTGCCCCATAGAGTTTCTTTACAGAAACAAACTGCCGCATCTTTCTCCTGTGGAGCGGCTGGTGGGTTTGAACAGCTGACCTTTCGGTTAGCAGCCAAGTGCTTTAACCACTGCACCACCAGGCAGTTCTACTCTGTCACGTAGGATCCCTATGAGTCGGAATTGACTTGACAGCACACAGCAACAACGTGCTGACCCTGTGTTTCACAACTGAGGAACTGCCAGACTGTTTTCCAAAGCGACTGTAGCATTTTACTTCCCCACCGGCAGGGTATGAGGGTTCTGATTGCTCCATATTCTCGTCAACACCTGTAATTACCTGACTTTTTGATTCTAAGCCATCCTAGAGAGTGTGAAGTGGTAGCCTTAAACCCTTTATTGACCAGGCAGCGAGGCCTGGAGGTGGAGCTATGGGCCCTGGAGGCCAATCCTGGGCTAGAAGCCCAACCACTTCTGCCTGAGGGGTTTGGGCCAGGTCTTTTCACCTGGCTGAGACTCATCTTCGCCTTCTGTGGAATGGAACCATACTAGGTGGCTGAGAGGTAGGCTGTAAAGTCCTCAGCACAGTGGCTTGGCATAAAGCACGCGTTACAGCTAGATGATCACGTCAGCGCTCCAAAGCCAGCACAGGTTCTGGTGTGGGGCGGGGCTTTGTGGTTGTAGCTGGAGCGGACAGCAGCGAGTGTGGCCCAGGGCAGACACCAGCCGAGGACCTGGGCTGGGGCCGGCCTGGACGTGAGGAGGCCTGAGGAGGCGCTCACTGCCTCCTGTTCTGGGGCCCTTTGGCCAAAGCCCCTTCCAGAAGGCTCTTGCCTAGCTTGGGAAGTCGTTTTCTTTCTATAGGTGTTTTTTGAGACTCAGCACACGTGAGCCACATCCTGATGGTTTGAATTAGGAAGCAGCTGATGCCTTCTGGAAAACCTAGGAAAACATTATTGTTGGAGGCCAGTCTCTCGCTGGCAGGGCTGACTGCCTGGCCTGGCGTTCCAGATCACAAAAGCCTTCACTGGCAAAATTGGAGCCTCCCCACTGGGGACTCCCCTCAAGTCCCCTTTCCCCAGCCATCCCTTGGGACTGGCAAACCATGGCTGCCCGTGGGAGTTGGGACAAGACTCCTGTGAGGTCTGGGCTCCTCTGTCCAGCAGTGTGTTGGTTGACCAAGGGCTGACTCAACTCCCAGGTGTCTGGCGCAGTGCAAAGGTGGTACCCTCTTGAGAAGCGGGGGCTGCTGGGGAGGCAGCAGGGCCAGAAGGAAGGTGCCAACAGGCTGGTTGGATGCTGAGCTTGTGGAAGGAGAGACAGTGTTAACAGCTTTCATTTCACAGATGAGGAAACTGAGGCTCACACAGCCAGGACTGGCTCAGAAGCCTCACCTTTCCTTTCCACGCTGAGAATGGGAGTAAAAGTAAAAGTGCTTTGTGACCCAAAAGGCACAGCGCAGCCATGAGGGGTTTTCAGTATCTTCCTTAGCTGTTTTCCTCACCTGGGCTTGTCCTTTCCTGCCCTACTAACCCAACCGGAGTAGCCAGAGCAGGTAGATGGAAAAGCCTGGAGGGACCTTCCCTCGGGCCAGACACCGCCTGGCTGTGGCTTCCACATGCTCACCAACAGTCAGAGCCCCATGCCTGGGGCCCCCTTATCTCTGGCCCAGCCTCGAGGGTGCAGTTTGTGCTTTGCTACAGGCTGAGAAGTCCAACCTCAGATGGACAGGGGTGAATTGTCCGGGCCTGTGGCACCCTGATAAGGCCCCTCAGCATGTGACAGAGGGCCAGGAGGCCCCCTCACACCACCTTCCTGCACTCAGCCCCTACAACCCTCTGCTCCTTAACTTCTAGAAGGACAGGCACCCTGAGGGTGGACCCTGGAGCTCAGTGGCCCCCACCCTTGCGGCCTACCTCCTTACCACTCCTCAGGTGAGCCAGGCCTGGCTCCAAACCACTGCCACATCCCAGCACTGGGTGTGGGCGCCTGTTTGCTGATCCTAAAATGAGATTTCGCTTGTCTCTACCCCATGGGGCTGTTGGAAAGATCAAATGAGGTGGCACATGGCACACATAAGAACAGGCTGGCACATGCAGTAGGTGCTCAACAATTGGTCAATTGGTTTATTTGTTTTCCAAGTGCTTGTGCCCTAAGCTGTAGGGTTTTCTTGGTTTAAATCTTTATGGAAACAGATTGCCAGGTCTTTCTTCTGTAATACTTCTGGGTGGGTTTGAACTATCAACCTTTAGGTTAGTGCAAAAAAAACAAGCCTGCTGCCGTTGAGTCGATCTTGATTCATAGTGACCCTATAGGACAGAATAGAACTGCCCCATAGTGTTTACAACGCTGTAATCTTTATTGAAGCAAACTGCCACGACTTTCTTTCTTTTATTAGCACTTTTATTTATTTATTTCAGTCTTTTTATTATTTAAAATTTTTTATTGTTGTAGTTTAAGTGAAAGTTTACAATTCAAGTTAGACTCTCATACAAAAATCCATACACACATTATTATGTGACCCTAGTTGCTCTCCCTATACTGTGACAGCGCACTCCTCCTTTCCACCCCTGATTTTCCAAGTCCATTCAACCAGCTCCTGACCCTCTCTGCCTTCTCATCTCACCTCCGGACAGAAGCTGCCCATTTAATCTCATGTATCTACTTGAGCTAAGAAGCACACTCTTCACGGGTATCATTTTATGTCCCACAGTCCAGTCCAATCTTGGTCTGAAGAGTTGGCCTCGGGAATGGTTTTAGTTCTGGGTTGACAGAGAGTCTGGGGGCCATGCTCTCTGGGGTTCCTCCAGTTTCAGTCGGACCATTAAGCCTGGTCTTTTTACTAGAATATGAGTTCTGCACCCCACACTTCCCCTGCTCCATCAGGGACTCTCTGTTGTGTTCCCTGTCAGGACGGCCATTGGTGGTAGCTGGGCACCATCCAGTTCTTCTGGTCTCAGGTTGATGAAGCCTCTGGTTTATGTGGCCCTTTTGTCTCTTGGGCTAATACTTTCCTGGTGTCCATGGTGTACTTCATTCTCCTTTACTCCAGGTAAGTTGGGTCCAGCTGATGCATCTTAAATGGCTGCTCACTAGCTTTTAAGATCCCAGACGCCACTCACCGAAGTGGGATGCGAACATTTTCTTAATAAACTTTGTTATGCCAATTGACCTATATGTCCCCTGAAAGCATGGTCCCCAGACCTCTGCCCCTGCTACTCTGTCCCTTGAAGTGTTTGGTTGTATTCAGGAAATTTCTTAGCTTTGGTTTAGTCCAGACGTGCTGATTTCCCCTTTAGTGTGCACTGTCCTTCCCTTCACCTAAGATAATTCTTGTCTACTACCTAGTTAGTGAATGACCCTCTTTCTCCCTCCCCACCCTAGTAACCATCAAAGAATGTTTTCTCTGTGTTTAATCCTATTCTTGAGTTCTTATAATAGTGGTCTTATACAATATTTGTCCTTCTGTAACTGACTAAATTCACTCAGCATAGTGCCCTCCAGAGTCCTCCATGTTATGTCTCATGGATTCATTGTTGCTCTTTATCATTGCATAGTATTCAACTGTGTGAATATATCATAATTTGTTTATCCATTCATCTGTTGATGGGCATCTAGGTTGTTTCCATCTTTTTGCTATTGTGAACAGTGCTGCAATGAACATGGGTGTGCTTATATGTATTCGTATGACGGCTCTTATTTCTCTAGGATATATTCCAATGAGCGGGAT